CATGTTAAACTTATATTAAAGTTTTTCTTCATTACCCATTTAAGCCGTCTCCAGCCACTACTTGTTTTATTCTGTTTCTGTTCTCATTTCTATTCTCATTTCATTACAAAGATGGCGCTATTGTGCGTCGTTTTTGCAGTATTTAATTGCAGACAAGCACACACACAAACAATCTCAGAGTTTTAGTAGTATATAAATGTTCTATAAAGTTTCAGATGCTAAGTACATCGATAAAATAAACCATAGTTTTATAATAAATGTAACTACATCTTAGATTTGAGAACTATATTATTCTAAGAATACTTTCAACTTGTAATTTAAAATATCTAAAACTGCTGAGCCTTAATGAAACTAATATAATATCTCTAACTACCTAAACACCATTGTGACATGTATAAGGAAACACACATTTAATCAACAATACATAACATATTGTACTTCTTGCCGGACTATTCCTGAGTTGAAGTGTAACACATAGACTAATAAAACTAAACTGGTCTGAAAACTGTATAATTGTGTTGGGGAAAAAAAAGCGTATAATTTTCACCTGTACCATAGTTGGTGTGAGTGAACTGTAGAAATGGAAAAGTATACTAAAGTGTCTGTATTTTTTATTATTGAGAATTTTTATATCGCGGCTACTTTTTATGACATTCAAGCCATTGAACGAATGTATGTTCTACTTTAGTAATACCTCCAATAATCGATATTCCTGCTAATGGTGGAACCTGTCCGGATCATCTGAGTTCTTGGCTGAACATCCAGGGTCCATATTGTTTCTATATCGAACAAGACACATATAACCTGAAGACGTGGGGCGATGCATCCCTATTCTGCCGCAGAAAAGGTCTGTTTAGAAACAGTAAATAAATGAAAATATATCAATCAGAAATAAACGTAATGGGCTTAATTTTGTGTAAGAGTCAAGTGATTTTCTCTTTTGCCATTACTATAGATAAAACACAGAAGGAAAGTTTAATATTCGCTTTGTGTGTATATTTACAAAGAAGTTTATGTATAGATATAAACTAACTTGCTAGTATACAGATATTCTACGAAATTAATTGTATTAATTTAATTTACTTCTATTTTTCGTATTATTGTTTGATTTTTTTGAGTTAAGTTTGTAGTCATTCACATTTGACCAACTCCATGTAAGAATCACCAGTTGTAATCCTAACTAGAAGAAAAGGTCTCGATGACTGCTTCAGTAAACTGTGTGGATAAAATCTCAGAATGACAGGTGTGATGGTAATATTGTTTATGTTGAAGCGTAAATCTTATGACAGGTGTGATGGTAAGATTGTTTATGTTGAAGCGTAAATCTTATG